GCCCGCCGTGCCGCCATGGGTCCGTCGCAGAAAGCGTTCCCCCCGGAACGCCGCGGCCGAGCGGGAAGGGGCCGGGCCGCGGCTGCCGCTCCACACAGCGCCGGCCAGCCCTTTCCACGCAAGGGCTCCCCGCGGGGGCAACGGGAAAGCCGGTATCTCCATCAGTTGAAGCAAGAGAAATCTGTAATACCGCATACATGAGGGAAAGCAGTTCAGTTAGATGCCAGTATTGTGGAAAAGAGCTGCCACGGTAAAGCCAGGCTGCTGTGCGTAGAGAAGAGTTGACGGGAAGCATCCCAGCTGGCTAACGGGCCTCCTCCCGGTTCTGCACATAAGGGAGTACAGGCGGGATGTACAGTAAACTCTGGTGCAAAGTTTGGATGTACCCCTGCAAAACTGTCCATTCAGACAACAGTTTGCTTTACATTTATCAAATAATCATTTTCTAATTCCCCTGTGATAGGTCTGCCGACTGGATTTTTATGACCATAAAATCTTTGGCCAAGACTGTTGTTATTTCTTCCTTTGTGGAGCCGCACCATACCAGCGCCACTCGGTACAAAACAGTTCCTGACACCATGCTCAGGTTGCTCTGCCAGCGAGGGACTGGGCCCTGCAGCATCCCTCTGCCTCGGTGATCGGTGATCGCGGTGCGGGAGCTGAGGGATTATTCCAGAATAGAGGAGAGACTTCTCTCTTGCATTGCAAAATGTGCTCATATTGCGGCAGAAGCCAGCAGAGCTTCTTGTCTGGCCTGTCAGCAGTATGAGATGCCTCAAAATGAAGCTACGTGCAAGTTGTCTTGTTTAAGTGACCACTGCTCCGTGCTGAGGAGTGGTGTGATTTACCCCAACTGCTCTCTTCCATAGCTGCTGTGAGAACACTACACGTCTTACAGCCGGTGCTTCCATCTGGTACTTTGTAATGAAGCTAATCACCTGCCCTCGTGCTGAGAATAACCTGTAGTTACAGACAAAGATATTGGCTTCAGAGATAGACCCAAATCTATACAATACTATTTAATCTTCTTAGGGACTGCAGGTATTAAACTGGATTGGCTATTCCTCCAGTAATATGTCCTTCACACCTGACCCTCTCTTGTATTAGAACTCTGCCAGCAGAGGCATCATGAAAATGAGATCATTTTCATTTGCTTGTCTCTGCAACAGCATCTCCCACCTGGCTGTTAAGTATCAAAGAAGCCTCCAGCACTACGCTCAACCATTAGTACTCCTCTTCCTCTTGGACAGCATCTTTGGAAGGTAAGCTGTGGAGGTTTGTTTGATTGCTTCAGATTTCTTACAACTGAGAAAGTCCAACCAGTGAGAAAGGACTTGGTCAGGAGTTGACCTGTAAGAAGCAATGCACTCTGGAAAAGAACGGTTAAACTTACAGGACTAGAGAAACATGGAAGCTGAGGGTCAGGTATTGTGAAAAGCTGGAGAACTCTTACTACTGATCCTAGTTTTGGATATGTTTCTGCTTCCTAAAGGTCTTTTAGGCAGCTCATTTTGGAGAGGAGAAATAAAAACAGTGTTTAAATAGGGTTGTGTATATATATGTCTTCTGTTCTCTCTGTATCATTCTTTATACTCTCTTATCTTTCTTAGGAATGGTTATTTTCTAATAATGTGCAATTTGTTATACATACTATATCATGCAATTCTGCTATATGCATGTTCATGTTCTTTTTACATATGAAAAGCAAGGTTTATATTTATCTGTTTATCTAGGTACTCCCACAACCCTCTATTACTGTTGCTTTAGTGATCCTCCCAACTATTTAAAAGAAGATAATAATGCCTGTCTTGCGAGAAATTTAGGCTGATTACTTCACTGGATGTTATGCAAGAGGGTAAGTGTGTGCTAACTTGCATGAAGAGCTTACCTGAGAATGGCTTACAAAACTGTCATTCACATCCAGCTCAAGCATAACATAATGTTCCCACTCTGGGGAAAAAGAAGTAAAATCTATGAAGAGCAATATTCTAAGGTAAAACATTCAACAAGCGCTGAAGGGTAAATTCTGTCCAGCCCCAAAGAACTGTCTCCATACCATCACAGCTGCAGGCTCTGTCAGTCTGGCATTTACAATTTCTCTCCTTTTCTAAATGCTGTTCAAATAATTATGCAAGATATGCTAATTACCCCCTAATAAAAGGTATGATTACACTACCAGTTTGCCAGTTCTGATTTTTACAGAAAGGCTTGAAAAGATGTAGTCATAGGAACAAATGGATGTTCAGCACCCTCAGTTTTACTAGAACCAAGTCTTCCTCCTGCGCTTCTCAAACTGAATGAAAAAAGCTCACCACTGCCTGGCTTGTATTCTGTGGGAGTGCAGGGCCGGAGAGCCACAGAGCAGCCTAGCTGGGAACTACCAAGCAGTTTGCATCCTCCTGTTGAGGTTACTTAGCTGAATAACTGGAGGGAAGTTTTAACAGCATGATCTTGTCTTCAGAGCAGCATCTTTTCCAGCAGTTTAAAACAGATTCCTTGACAGAAGCCATGTCCTCTCCTCTTGCAGAACACAGACCCAATTGTTAATGTTGCAGAATAACAACTGAACTCAAGTGCAAACACAAACCTTAATAGCTCCTGGGTAGGGGCATTAGGTGGAATCAGAATTCATCTCAGATTGAACTGTCTCATCCAACCCCTCTCTATATTAAGCCAAACCTGTGATTATTAATCAGCATAGCCTACAGCCACAAAAAAACCCATGACTGAAACCTGAATCTATATCCAACTTTACTCATTTAAGTACATTTCTTTTTATGGAAAAACAGAAAAGCAGGACTGCTTTTTCACTGAGGTAATGTTACCCAAATGGTGGAAACTTGCAGTACTTTATTTTTTACACTAGATTTTCTTTTGCAGGATTCTATACTTTGTGTCATGTAGCATCACTCCTGATGCTTAAAATTGGCTAGAAGCTCCGATGGTGGATGTAAGTGCAAACTGCTGATCAAGAGAAGTCTTCAGTGGCTTCTGGACACTGATTTTTGAACCTTTAGGAAATGCATTTACCACGGAGAAGGCGGCTACAATGGAACCGAATCTTTTTCTCGCTTGCCATAGTGTTGGTCCTCTCTCTCTATCAGCTCCAGTTCAGCCACTCTGCCCTTCCAGCACCACGCACAGCACCCAAACCCATGGACCCCGTGAAAGTGTTCTCCCGGGACCTCTCCAGCAACAAGACTGCCATGACAGGCAATGTCACAGCAGCACCCAAAATAAGGCACTGTGTGTATGTAGATCCTGAGCCAATTGTGCCCATCACTACATCAGCGGATACAACACCACAGCAAGAAAATGTCAGTGAAAGCTACCCAGATGAAAAGCCACCATACGAGTCCAAAGGAGAATATCCGCAGGACCTATTCAGTGTGGAAGAACGCAGGCAAGGGTGGGTTCTACTTCACATCTTTGGCATGATGTATGTGTTTGTGGCCTTGGCCATAGTGTGTGATGAGTATTTTGTTCCTGCTTTGGGAGTGATCACAGAGAAGTTGCAGATCTCTGAAGATGTGGCTGGAGCCACCTTCATGGCAGCAGGTGGATCAGCACCAGAACTCTTCACCTCCCTCATAGGTGTCTTCATCTCACACAGCAATGTGGGCATCGGTACCATTGTGGGCTCAGCAGTGTTTAATATCCTCTTTGTCATTGGCACCTGTGCCCTCTTCTCAAGGGAGATACTCCACCTGACATGGTGGCCCTTATTTAGAGACATCTCTTTCTACATTGTTGACTTGCTGATGCTCATCCTGTTTTTCCTAGACAGTGTCATTGATTGGTGGGAAAGCCTCCTTTTACTGACTGCCTATGCCACATATGTATTCACTATGAAACAGAACGTGTACCTAGAACAATGGGTGAAGCAGGAGCTGAACAAGAAGCTAAATGCTGTGCAGGCAGCATCAGCAGAGCATATACGGAAGGTTGGTGTCCTTATTGTTCAGAGGGCAAGTTGGAAATAATTCATTCTAGCGTAAACCACAAATTAAAACTGCATCTCCTTCACAAAGTGCATATTCAAACTAAACCTCAGAATACAGGTACTGGTCAATAATTATGGTTATAACATGAGGATAATGCAATCTACACAGTAGAGATTCTAAGAATTTAGAGAATGCCACTAAAAGGGAGTTCTACCCTTGCAATCACTAAAGATATCAGTTGCGGTCGCTTACCTTCTTTCAAAGACATGCGTGGGATTTTGCTCACTCAGTTATTGTAACGGAGTTTCAAAAAAAAATACTCACGGGAACACGTTGTTAGTCTGGGAACATGATTGGACAATTTGGTGTTAAATAGAGGAAGAAAGGCTTCTGGTAAGAGGTGCTGTCCAAGCCTCTTTTCCCATTCTGAAGTTGGGTGTGTTGCTGGCATGCTGGTGGTATCACTCATTACCCAATCTGCAGCACAGATAGGGATCTGGCAGCCTTTAGCCGCCGTTGCCACGTCTCCCAGTCAGCATTTGGCACCAAGATTGAAATGCCCAAATCCCATTTCCACTGACCGACCACAGCTGCGTGTGCTCAGAGACACAGTTCTGTATGCCACCGGTGCTCAGACAGGGAGGTTTGTGGCTGTAACTACACACTGCAGATTTGAGACCAGGGCCCTTCACTCATTGTCTTCTGAAGGAAGAGTCGACTGCTTACACAAAGACAGTATCTGAAGGCATCCCCAGAGCCAGTTACCCTTTCAGACTAGCAGATCTGGCCGGGACATGCTCTCCAGAACTTGGGACTTTGTCTTCTTGAGTATTCCTGCCCACTTCTTCCTCCTCTGTCCCTTCCCAACTCTCCTACTGCCTCTTTGTCCTCTTGACCTGTGCTACTGCCAACTGTCAAGCAGAGACCACTAGATTTCAAGTTGTCCTCTGGCATTGGCAGGCTTTACTGGTCAGATGTGTATTACTGGCACTCAGGCATGCTTTGCCCCTTCTGGTCTCAGCATTCCCTTCACATAATTTAAGGTAAGAAAGGAAGAAGGGTGAAGACAGTTGAAGTGGTGCAGAATTGAGAAAGTGCTTTTCCTTCCTCCTCCTGGTCTGTCTTTTGGCCAGGGCTTGAGGCTGGGGGTCCTGAAAGCTCATGTGTTACATTCCAGTGGGATGCACGTGCAAGATACTGCAGCTATACACATACATCACTGTGGACATCACCAGTCATCACAAATTGAATCCGACCTTTCAGACTGAAGGAAAAAAACCCCTGCACTTTAAGTTTACAGAGAACTCTCACTAGCGTACAGTAGCATGACAGAGAGCTGCTGAACATAACCCCTGGCGAGAAAAAATTACCTATATTGGAAAGTAACGCTGATCACTGGAAAAAAATACCCCTTTGGCACCTTCATTCTGGCCCTGCTGGAAAATGAGTAAGGATACAGATGTTTGGGGATGAAGTTCGGGGCTGCCTTTATTTACAGGAATCAGATGGTAAAGGCCATTTGAGTCTATCTCCAGGCACCTGCATCCTCACTGAGGTGCTGTAGGTAGAATCCTGTTTCTTTTGGATGCCCCATGGTTTTAGGAAGAGCACATGGCTTCAGCTTTTTCAGTAGCATTCATGCATGGTCATTTTTATTAGTTGTCCCACTTTCTCACAGACAGTAGCTTGAAGAGTTATCAGCATATCCTGAAAAAGCAGGTGAAGCAGTAGTGGTGTTCAATCGTTTGTGTTCTTGCTTCATGCAGAAAAGCAGTGGGGCAGTTGCAGATGATGGAACAAAGAAGCTAGCAGATGGGAGGAAGCTGCAGGTAGGTCTAAGCATCTTTACAGGGCACTGAAGCCACTGTATTTTGAACCCCTCCCCATGTCAGGTCACGAATAAAGGTGTCAGCTTTTGTGTCAAGAAACCTGGACCAAATCCTACTTTGTGTGAAGAACCAGCCATGCTTGGCACAATATCCACAGCTTACTTAAGAGGAAACCTGGCTGAGTGGTGGCCTCAAAAGAATTTTTATAAAAATTAAGAGACAGCTCAGGCTTCCAGGGTGGATTTGACTAGCAGAGTGCTATTCATTCTATGCTTTCAACAGTCATAGAGAAGTTCAGAGAGTGACTTTTCTTACCTGGTTTCGTGACCAGTTTTCCCCCTGAGCTCCCAAAGCAGAGGCTGGTAGGGTCTGTCCCTCCCCATAGCAAACACTGAAGAACTCATTCCTCTGCTCCTGGTTACATTGCTGACCCTTTGTCTTCCCCACGGCTGGCCAGCCATCGCACGGAGAGGCCTATCTGATGTAATGGCTGTATATGTACAGAACAGAAGAGGTATTAGCTTCCTCATATGGATGCTGCTTGTTCCTCTATGCACTTAGCCTACCTGTGCTGATTAACGTTCAGTCAAAAGCTCATTAGGACTCTGGTGTTGACTATAAGAACAGAGCACCAGAGCTTTCAAGTTTAAGTCAGGACACCTGACATAAGCATAGCATTACCTTGTAGCAGCACATAAATTTACACAGTTTTAATAAGTCTATGACTAAAAGCATTGCATGCTTTGATTATTATAATTTATAGTAGCATTGTATTGATGCTGAGTCTGTGTGAGCCCATTGCATTTATCTAAGGATGGGTTGGCCTGCTATCCGAAAAGCATGTCTTGCTGTGAATGGTCGGTATTGACACCCATCCTGTGAGCTTGAATGCAGAGACTGTTTAAAATCCATGCTGAGGCTGCTCCTTGGGCTGGGGAGATCAGCCTCCATATAAATGCATCCCCAGGGCAGAGGCGAACCAACGGTGGAGATGCTTTGAGGAAGTAACTGCTATTGACTGCTGCATTGTGCCTTTCCGTAGCCTCCGTCAGCCTTACAGCGAGGCAGCAGCTCAGCCTCCCTGCACAACTCTCAAATGCGCAGCACCATCTTCCAGCTCATGATCCACACCCTGGACCCCCTGGCAGAAGGTGAGTCAATGCTCCATCTGAGGGACTTGGGTTTGCGGCCCCGAGCGCAGAGCAGGTTAACTGGGAATATCACCTTCGTATGTCGGGGTGCTGGGGATCAGCAACTCACCCTTGAAATGCAGCTCTGAGTATCACAGATAACGTTGGGGGGGAGCTCTGCAACAGTGGGATGTACCCCTTCTGATCGCGTGGCTAGCCAGGACAAACACCTCACATTTTGGCCCTGCCAGATCTGCTTTGCCTGTGCCAAAGCGGTTGCTGCTGCGGTGGAGCTGCTGCTTGAGGGAGGATGAGGGCGTGTGGAGCAGCTGCTGTTGCTGGGGTCCCTGAAAGCAGTGACGGTCACTGCAGCCCCCCGTCTTCTGCTGTCCTGACAGCAAGGGCAGCAAACGTGAGTTACAGTCTTCCGCCATCTCGTAGCATGTCACGTCTTCCTCCCTCTTCTTAGCTCAGACCTCACCGCAGCCTTAGAACAGCAGCATTGAAAGCTGACTACTTTTTCAAGAAAGAGCTGCGCAGCCTCTCAGTCTCATTTGTGGTGGGGAACGTGGACACAGGGAGAGCTCATCACCCGTACACCTCCCCAGCTGTGCACACAGCCCCTCACAAGGCGTAAGCCTAAGGAAGAGGAAAAAGAAGTTAAAACCCTTGAAGAATTATAATTTTGAAGGTGGTTAAAATCCTAGCTGAGATCTAAAACACACAGCAGGTTCCAATTACGATGGGTAAGCCAACCCATATGTGATTTAGACCAACACTGAGCACCCCTAAAATCCCACCTGCAACACTGCAGTGTCATCACTGCCCTGGTAAACTGTACCCACAGGACTTTGCAGGCAACGGGCCAACTCCCCCCACGGCCAAGGGTTGATCATCTCAGAATTGAGACCCACCTTCTTTTGAACTGCCCAGGGTGCAGAGAAGCCACATCTCCAGACAGACCCAGGGTCTTTGTACACAAACTTTTAACAAGCTGCTTTGTATCAACTTTAATCCAAACACAATGTGGAGGTTCACTTTCTGAGGAATGGTGGAGCATGTTTAAAAAAGTACTTTTTTTTAAAATTTTCTTTCCTAGCTCAGCACATGCCCTGCCCCTCCACTGCCCTACTTGTTCTAAAGAGATTATCTGTTGTTCATTCAAAGAGAGATTGAAGATAAGCAGATCAATGCCTCTCGTGTCTCTCACAGAGGTTACAAAAAGGATTCTCCAAATCAAAATCCCTGCTGCACAAACTGGTGGAGGGAACAAAGGAGGCTTGATAAGGACAGCAAGACAGATCAGTGTCTGTTTTGATAGATTTTAGTGAAGGCACCCATCATATTACTAAGAGTAGCCTGACACGAGCCAGACTCATCAGGGTTTGCTCTACTGCCCTTGCCTCCTGTCTCCCCTGAAAGGTGGTATCATCAACAGCACAAGGATAAAACCAAAAACATGCCATTGCCTTTGGCATCAGAAAGGACTGCTGCCACTCAGACGCTCCAGCGCCTTCTCAGCCTTCCTGCGCCTCTAAATCTCCTTGTGCAGCATCTGCCCCGCCCCGGCCAGCACACACGTCTGGTCCAGGCTGGTGTCCTAAGCTTGGTGAAACCCTGGGACCTCAGTAGAAGTTGTGGGGGTTGAGGATGCCAACCCAGGCCAAGGAGCACGCGCCAGTGCCGCCCCACCAGCTCAGCCCAGAACACGCTGCTGGGCGGGGGGGGTGTCAATGCAGTTGTAAGGCGCCGGCCTTGCTAAAGAGGCTGAATTACCACGACTTGCGAATACTGAATAAGCGGGACTGGGCGGGGAAGCAGTTGGGACCTTCTCTGAAAGACAACTTCTCTCATTTCAGCTAGGCAGCCTTTGACTTACTGTCTCGGTATGCGGCAGCCACTAGATGGGAGTGTGACCGTATGTACTTAAACAAGGCTAATCACAACAGGGACGATGTGAGGATGGGCTACAGTCTTTCCGAAAGGTCGTTATTTCTTAGATTTGCTATAATAATGCCCCTGAGTTAAGGGCAAAACCTCAGCCCCAGGTACATGCCTGTTCCACTCCACGCTGCCAGAACAGAGACAGCTCCTGAGAGAAGATTGCCATAAAGAAATTTACTGATGTTACAACAGCACAGCACTCAAAAATCAAGGAGCCAGGGTCCCAGGTGCTGTGTATCTAGTAGGAGATAAATGATAATTCATACCTCCAGAGGGTCTGGAGAAAAGGAATCATTTATGAATAGACTGAGAAGCCTAAGTGCCTTGAGGATCTTGGCCAAAAAGATGAAGTGACTTCCTCAGGATGACTCTGATAGAGGATTTGAACCTGAAAGTCATATCAGGACTGCAAGCTCAGCCTTTATGTTAATTGTACTGCAGCCCTTGGCACCCTCAGGACAGCTGGGTGCCTGGTTCCCACTGATCCCCAGCAAAGTCCTTCTCTTCGCAGTGTGCGCAGCACTGTCTGTACCAGACACATTTCTGTAATTAGGCTGCAGCATAAAAGATGATCCCAAAGCAATTTATCTTTCCTCAAGGGTCCTTGTTCCTTCTTGCCAATGCCTGTAGCATCAGCACTTAGAGGCTGTGGTAAAGAACACTATACAAAAGAAAAACATTGCCAACTATTTCTCAGCAGTTCCTAACTTAACCTACTGAAATTAGGATCTCTCTGGGGGCTGGGTTTCCTTCTTTCTGCTGAAGTTGTGTTTTATTTGGGCAGCACAGAAATGGTTTCAGGGCAGCAGGATTCCAAAAAGTGGAAAAACTGCCAGCACAGGGCCTCCAAAACCAACTTCCAGAGGCAAAGGTCTTAGAAAGATAGTAGAAGTCTGAAATACAAACTTTGTTTCACTGGTCCGAATGCGACACCCCTTCTGTGAAACAGAATTTCTCATTTGAACAGTGGGTTAAGTACAGAATATTTGTTTTTCTTTTTCTATTAGGAAGGGATCATTACTTAAGTCTTTTTCTCTGTCTGCAGGACACTAGGTGTTTTATTTTAGAATTTCTATCATTTACATTGCATCCTGAATTACATATTTTATAGAAGCTTTTATTTTTGAAATGCCTTTTTTTTTTTTAAATGAGGAATTCCTACCACCTTTGGTCTTTTCTCCGCTTTCTCTGAAAGTGTAGAAGCAGAGGGTAAGATCTTTTCAAGATCTTCCAATTAGACACCAGAGGGAACTCTTGAGGAATTAAAGGAAGCAAGGGCTTTGGAAAGACTGAGGAACCCTCTCATTTCTGAACCTCCAGTCCTACTGTCGGATTATTCTTTAAACTCTAGTCATTCTAGGGAAGAAGACAGAAGCCTGCTTTTACTTTTGAATGAAGAAAAAGGCTCCAGCAGCAAGGTTGTCAGAGCTGCCTACCCTCAGCATGCCCCGGTTAACAAGCTAATGATTTTGGAAAGGAGACCAGCAGGCAGTGTTGCAGTCTCAAGTGGAACTAGAAGACTGAAGGCAGCTACAGTTTCTCCTTGCTTCACTAGCATTCAATCGCTTGTTTTAATAGAATCATGATACAGAGGACCAAAAAGGATCCTGAGGCTTTTTTTACTTCCACTTTTAGACAGCAGATCTCCAAGTCCTCCAGATTCATGCCAAATTTTGATGAAAAAATCCTTCTTGCTGTTCGTGTTGTACGTTAGTCCTGTTAGATTAAATATTAGAGCCAAAGAATTAATTAAACGTATAAGCCAAACTCAAGGTAGAAGCTCAGCTGCCACCTGAAGTCCAGCCCGGATGCTGTCAATCCAGAGGACAGGAATCCTCCTGAAGAGCATCTCGGGGCCCCTGGGCACGGGCACGTCCCCTTGACGGGCTCTCCGAGCAGGGGCAGAGTGACCAGCAGCGAACGCCGCAGGGGACCGAAGCCG